CTGAGTAGCTAGGACTATAGGTGTGAGCCATCATGCCCAGCTAATTTTTTATTTTTTGTAGAGACAGAGTCTTGCTATGTTGCCCAGGCTGACCTCGAGTTCCTAGGCTCAAGTGATCCTCCCACCTTGGCCTCCCAAAGCACTGTGATTACAGGTGTGAGCCACTGTACCCAGCAAGATTCTCTCTTTTGATGGTTTCACCCCAGCAAAAAGGAAGGTGGCCCTGAAGCCCCTAGAGCACATTCCCACTATCCTCAAGGACATGCTCCCAGCCCCTCCCCCTTGGCTGGACTGGGATCCACACAGGCAAGACCCTAATAAGAGCTCTGGTTCATCTATGCTGTCTTCATCTCTGTGTCCATACCTCAGTGCACCTTCCCTTCTGTGCTGCTCTGCTGTGACAAGCCCTGACCTGTCCATCTGTTCCCCCAGGGGAAGCGTGTTTAAACAGCACAGGAGCCTGGCGGCACAGGTGCACACTCTGGGCTTACCCTTACCAGTTGTGCAGCCCTGGGCTACAAAAGGTACTTGGATTATTTATAACACTGCTCAGCACAATAAATGTTATCTACTTATGTAAGTAGCGTAAGATCTTTTAGGCCAACTGACCACACTACAAACGGCACGGTAACCTCTGTGACCTGCGCATACGCCCCAGATGAGCTCCTGGAAGAAATGATCAACCCCTGCAGTGCCTAACTAACTTGAGACATTCTTCTATCGTTTCTTATTCCAGTCTCAATTGACAAGGCCATTGGACTTTGTAACGGACCTTGGTCAACCCTATGACCCCCTCCCAGCTTGCAAAAAACTGCCCTGAACTGTAACTTCTGTAACTTGCTACTGCTTCCCCCAAACCCATAAAACCAACTCCTATTCCTGCGCCCTCTGCTGACTCTCCTTCGGACTCAACCGGCCCGCACCCAGGTGAATAAACAGCCATCTTGCTCACACAAAGCTTGTTTGGGGGTTCTCTTCATTCAGAGCGCATGTTTTAACAAGGAGTATTATTTAAATTTACTATCACATAATGGATTGGGTCATTTTTACCAGATAGTGGAACTATAACACTGACTAAGCCTGGAGATCTGCAGACAGTACCCTGGGGAGGAGGGAGCTGAGATCTGACAGTTCAGGATGATCAGGGCGGCCACAGTAAGGTCCTAAAACTGCCTGAGGCAAGTGTGAGGGGCATCCTCCAGCACTCTGTCCTAAGGACAGCAATAAGACCACTCACTGGCTGTGTGGCTCTTCCTGCTCTGAGTGCCCTGCCTCTATCTCTAGTCACCAGTGCAGTGGGGCACACCCTCCGGGGATTTGCAGATCCTTGATGGTAAAAATGGATTTGGTGCTGCAGGCAAATGATACTTAATACCTGTATGAAAATGAGATTAAAAAGCAAAAACAACCTCCCAATCTCCCCAAACCAATCAGGGTGGTTACTACCACAAAAAAACAGAACACAAGTATTGGTGAGGATATGGAAAAACTGGAACTCTTGCACGTTCCTGTGGGAATGCAACATAGCGCAGCCACTGTGGGAATCATGACAGTCCCTTAAAACATTAGAATAACCATGTGATCCTGCAATTCCACACTGGGTATGTATACAAAGAAGTCTCAGAAAGACATGCGTACACCTGTGTTCATGACAGCACTATCCACAAGGGCCAGAAATCTCTTCTGCATCCAATCATGTCCTGATAGTGACCCCACCTTTATGGGGCAACCTGAAGGGGACCTCTGTTACCATGGTGCAAACGCAGCAGTGTCACTGGGTGTGCACCATGGTTGGGAACCAGGCAGAGCTGGCTCTAGGGTACTGCTGGTGCATCCTGGGCACAGGGCAAAAGCCAGCTCTTCGCAAGAACTTCTCACCTCACTTCTACAGCAGGCTGGACACACGTGTGCTATCCCCTACTCTAGGGGTATGGATGCAGCAGTGACCCCCTGAGGCTGTCACAAGTCCCCTATGAGTGCAACTGCAGAGACAGCAGCCAGCAGCAGACAGATAAGAGTGTGGAGCTACCAGAAGACCTGCCCACTTCCAGGGGGCCAAGCGGCCAGTGGGCCACTGCAGCATGCTTGGCACTGACAGAGTCCTTGATAGTGGGGAGGGATCTCCAATCAGCAGAGAGGGGTTCCCACGACCTCTGTCCAACCGGCAGCCACTGCAGACTGTGAACACAGCTTGTGCCACATGCTAAGGCCTTCAGAGCCTATGGTATCTGTCCTGATGGGGACTGTGCACAGGCACAACAGGTCAGATGCAGCCACCTCTTGGCATTTCGCTTAACGCCCTCTGCGAGGGGCCTCCGCCCCTGCACATGGCTGAGTACAGACTTCTGAAAGAAGCAATCAGGATCTGCCCGAGGACAGGGTGGACATCATCCGGGGCAGAAGCCCAGAGGGTCACAGGGTCCAGGGGCAACAGGGACACACAAAGCCCTCTGCTGTCACACTACACACAAGAGCGCTGCCCTAGGTGCAGATTGTCCCAGGGCTGAGACAGCATCTTTCAAAGGCTCTGGATGCTGGTACTAGCATACCCCAGCAGCTCTGCACTACATGTGGGTCACACTGGGCAGCTCCAGCCAGAGTGCCACTACTCCCCTCTGGGCTGGGTGACATGGGCACTATGAAGAGCCACAGAAGCCTCCATGCAGATGTGAGCAGGAATCTGTGCATGACTCACACATAGCACTTGGCGTTCATGGACTGCCTCACTCTGGGGACAGATGCTGTGACACATGGGGCATACCAGGAGTGCCAAGTGATGTGGACCATGCACACCACATTATCTCCAGCTGTTCACATTGCTCCAGACCTTGGCCCCGGAGCAGCAGTAATGTGCAACAAGGTCTAACCCGCCTACCTGGTTGCCTAGCGCCACCCGGCTCCACGATGCATGGCCGCCCCCACCTAGCATGCATGGACGGAGCAGAGGGAGGGGTCACAGCCTAGGGCCTGCCAGGCTCCTAGAAACCTCTAGAAGGGAAGACATCAGCACAATGGCACTGGGCGCCTTCTCAATCTCCACTGAGACCTTTGTCAAAACGGTATGCAGGCTCCCAATCAGACAGCTTCTTTGGGTTTTTACTTTCTTTCATGAAGCTTCATGCATGTAAAAATGTTAGTCTGTCTTTTCTCCTGTGAATGTCTTTTGTCAGTTTAATTCACAGGTCCTAGAAACAGAACCTAAGAGAGTAGAGTGAAAGTTTTTCTTTCCTCTGCCAGCAGTGTAGCTTCTCTCTTCTCTGCCCTCCTGCCTCTCTCCCATAAGAAACTTGGTGATTACACTTAGGGCCCACCCTGGGAAATCCAGGTGAATTTCCATATCTCAAGGTCCTTAACTTAATCCTATCTGCAAAATCCCTTTACCACTAATGGAACTCACAGGTTCCAGGGATGAGGAGGTGGGTACCTCAGGGCATTATTCATCTCCTGCAGATCCCTGGCATGTGCAGCCATGAACCTTTGAATGAAGCCTCCCAGATCCCATCAGGGAATGTGAAGGGAAGGCAGGGCAGCTGGGCCAGGCCCTGTCTGAAGAAACCACTGCACCTCCCAGCCTTCTGCAACGTGGCCTAGTGTGGGCTTGATTTTTTTCTCCTGAAAGGAAAAATCCTCAATTTTTAGATGACGCCTTCCAATGCTGCGAGGTAATTAATACATATATTTTTAATACTGAGAAGTCCCAACCAAACCAATCTGAGGGCTGCGATGCCAATCTAAGAGCTCCGAATCCACCTGGGCCCCTTGCATGGGGGAAGGGGCAGGCCAACTCGGGGAGCGCCTGGGCTGCACATCCCCCAGGGCATGTGGACAACAGAAATCCCCACTAACAGAGTCAGGATAAAGGCAGTCACAAGGCAATAATAATTTTTAAAATGCTGGTTGAGTAAACATGCAAATGACCATTAACAGGACCTGGAAAATAACCAGGAAACCAGTACATTCCATGGGAATCTTGACTTGATGAGTCATTGAAATGCAAATTTTACCCCAATTCTGGAAGGATTACAAGCATCTCCATTCACAGCCCCCATTCCTATGTAAATTTTAGTCTAAGGACTGGCCCTCCAGTTCCCAGCCTTCTGGCTGCTTTGCCATGTTTCTTTCCTTGAGGCTCCTAAGCAGGAGCTTCGGAGTTTCTGGTTTGTTTCTGGACCCTCCTCCCCTCCCCAGCCCTCGGAGACGTCAGACTCCCAGGGCTCTCTGACTTTCACACACCTGAGTCATACTAGACACAGTACTGGGCATGTACCTGGATTTACAAAAGCCAGTGACAACAAGGCCACCCAGGTCTCTGTGTCAGCAAAGATCCTAACAGCAGCCACACCCACGGCTTTACGCAGAGCAAGTCCCACAGGCTCCACCCACGCCCCACCTGGCCCTGCCCCACCCGCTGCCAGCTCCTGGAAAACCTGGTTGGGGTATACCCCAGCCAGGGCCACGCCCGCAGGCTGCAGGCCTGGCCTTTCCTTACAGAGGCTGTGCAAAACACAGAAACTTAGAGACAAACAAAATTTAAATAAAGGAAGGGCATGAACACTGCCAGATGCCCAGTGTCCATATCTGCTGTACTGCATCCCAACCCACACGGAATTGGCTGCCCATGAGAAGAAAGCAGGGATAGCCCCAGGCCAAGGAAGCACCCCCACCCTGACCCAGCTCCCCAGAATCACAGCCTCAGCCTTGGCTTCTCTGATGCTCGCTGGCCAGCTACAGACAGACAGACTTCTCAGACAACGTCCTGCATTCTGCTGCCATCAAAACACAGAGGTGCAAAGCTCAAGCCTGTCAGGTCCACTCAAGTGTGTTTTCCCTCTGGTTGTCCGGAACAGCAGCTGGTCATTCCGTCCCCTCATATTAGAAGGAAGGCCACTCACTCAGCTCATCTCATTCGACCCCAGTGAGTGGTGAGAAATGGGAACACAAGACCATTTACCAAATGATAAAGAAAACCTGAGCCCCTGACCCTGCCCGGCTGGCCTCACCTTTCCTGGTGCTCCTGACCCCACGCTGGGCAGCGTATCCCCAGCCGCTAGGCGGGATGGGCACTCAGGACACCATCTGGCCCAGCCGTCCCATCCTCACACAGGGCCTCTGCCTGCGTGGGACATCTGTCCTGACCGTTGGGGTTTCAAGGGCTCTGTTATTAGTCGGGTCTCAGGCCAGGACTGCTCCAGCCACAACAAGGCGCCCTTCAGCACAGGGACAAGGTCCTGTGGTGAGCCTTGTCTGCAGGTTGTGGAACAAGCCTGTCCCATTCTCTTCCTTTTAAACAGCGGGGCTGTTCAGCAATGTGGGCCCAATTGTTTTCCTGTGTGGGCTAATTCAGGGGCTTGTGGGGCAGCGCCCAGCCCCAGGGCTGAAGAAGGAGGAGAAAGGCTGCCTTAGATGAGGCCGTGGGGGGTTGTGGCCCAGCACCCGAGATGTGCACGCTATTGTCGACCTATGCAGTGGCTGGGGGCCTGCCAAGGGCAAGCTCCTCTGTGCCTGAGGACCCTGCAGGCCGGGCTACTACTGCAGTCGTCTGGGGCTCCATGGCAGGATGGGCGGGCTGCCTAGGGCCACGGGAGGATGGGGCTAATAGCGAAGTCCCAGAGAAGCAGATGTAGCCCTGGTTGAGTCACTCGAACCCTCTGAGCTCTCATGTCCAGCCTTGGACACAGGAATCATGAAGGCAGCTCAGTCAAGAGGTAGCAATGAGGGCAAACTTGGGAGGTGAACATGCACAGAGCTGCTGAACAGCACTGCACTGAGATGGCCTGGTCCCAGCTGGAAGCACGTGGCCTCTTCTGTTAGGGGTTACAGGGCCCTGGCTGCTCTATCGGCCACTATGCCCATCCCCATGAGTGGCCTGATACTAGTGGGCATTGCACAGTGCACTGAGGAGTGGCTCCTGCAGCTCTGGAGGTTTTTATTTTTCTGTAGACCAGGTTTTCCTCCCACAACGGCAGGCATCTGCCCTCAAGCCTGTAAGAAAGTGAGATGCAGTGAGTATTGCCCAACCTTGGTGGCTCACACTTGGTCTTGAATAAGCAAACAACCACAGAACAAACAGCAGAGCAGGTGTGAAGCTCGCCCTGAGTCTCTGACACTGCAGACACAGCCTCCAGATCACAGCCCCTTCACCCACCCCCACCTAGCACCAACCCTAGCAGGCAGCAGCGACGAGTACTCCCACTGCTGCAGTGTACCTTGGGAGGGGAAGGCGCAGACCTGGGACATGGCTGGGCTCAGGGACTATGGGCACTCGCCCATGTGTGCCACCAGCAAGGGGCACAGGTTCCCGGTGCTGCCTGAGGTCAAGAAGTCCCAGGGAGGGAGGTCTGGCTGATGTGTCCAGGTGCTGAAGGAAGGTAGCAACACTACTTGAGCAGGCACAGGTGACAGCTACACAAATTAGGTCTCTGAGCCTCAGAGATGAACAAGACAGGGACAATGTATGAAAGGTATGGTGCTCTGCCCTGACCCGCAGCTCAGGACACAGCCAAGACAGGGACATGCTTGGACCTAGAAGCCAAGTCTAAAATTCCTTAAACTGAGCAACTCAGCCCCAAGGATGAGCCATCCAACCTGCTAACACCCATAGTGCCATCTGGCACCAGGCTCTGTGCCCTTCTCGCTGGAAGGTTTCTAATAACCCACAGGGGTAGGGATAGAGGGGCAGTGCCATCTCAGCAAGATGCAAAGAGAAAGCAGGGGACACTTTACCTAGAAGGGTGGGCAGCTGCTGTGGTGGGAGCAGGCTCTCTGGGGGCTGAGTGTGGAAGAGGGAAGAGGGAAGCAACAAAGCCAAGCTGTAGAGAACAGTCACGCTGTAGAGAATAGTCAAGCCAAGCGCCTTCCTTCTCTCCTGGGAGCCTCTTGTGACCATGAACCCAAGCTTTAAGTTTTGAGATGAGAAACTGGAGACCCAGGAAGGGTGAGGAGTGAAGGGCTGCGGGCCTCAGCTGTTGCAGGCCTTGTGCTCCATGGCTGCCAGGCTCAGGCTGGCCTGGAGAGAGCTTTCAGGGCGAAGCACCTCCTGCAGCGGCTCGTGATGGCTGCATCACAGAATGGAACAAGGTGAGCGGAACGACGTTCACCACGGGAGCCTGGCCACTGTAAGCCCTGCTCATGACAGAGCTGGAATCATGCAATTAGATAAAATATTAACCCGGCGCATCAAGGGCTGGAAGCTATGCCAGTCAAACCCACATTATGAAGCGCTTTATTCTGTCATTCCTGAGACAAAGAACATTTCTAGTGTTAAAGATATCCAAAGCAATAAATCGAAGTATTCTTTATATTCTTTGACTAGAATTGAATACGATGTATGGATTTTAAGAACTTCTATAAACTCTACAAAAGGCTTCACAATTTTAAGATGTGTTTGTAGATCCAGAATATACGAGTTGCCTGGTAGGGTTTCTTTGAATCCTCTAAGATCTAGTGGCTGAGAGTGGAGACCACTTTGGCCTGTAAACTGCCCAAGAGGATAATGAGACCTGAAGGCAATTTTCTTAAAGCAATGGTAATATTAAGAGAAACATTCACATTGGAAAGAAGCATTTCTTCTGTGATTTAAGGTTTTTAATTATGCAAAGAAGCTAATGGTTTCAAACGTCTGCATTTGCCACCCACACAAACGACGTGGTACAACATCTATTCCATTTCCTTCTAAAAGGTATTATTAGCTCAGTCAGTGGCTCACTGGTCCAAAGATCATCACAGCTGGCTGGACCCCAGACTGCACTGAAAGGTCAACCTGATTTGCAAAAAAAACCAAGAGCAAGTGTCTATTTTTAAAAGCCTATTTGCAGGTCCTGTATTTTCTCTTTACAAAGAGAAAGTCAGCGATGCTCCCAACTGCACAAGTTTTGGCTGAATGGGATCCGGCCGACCCACTATCAAGCTCAACACATCTCAGTGTCAATTTAAGCATTAACTCACTTTAGCCCACAAGCACACCATACAGTCATTCTACATTGGTGCACTGCCCCTCAGTCACCTTCACCACAGCTGAAAAGTGGACACACCTGCTGGGTCAGGAGCCATATCTGGGACACACGGGGAGACCTGCCTGCCCTTAAACCTACCAAGGGCAGTCCACAGGGAATGGAGCCACAATAAGTGGCCTGGTGTCCTCCCCTTGAGCCTGACCCTCACCCTGGGAGCCATTCGGGCTGCAGCACCTCCATCCACACCACCTGGGATGAGCCCTGGAGCGGTGCTGGCTCCTCTGCCCCAAAGACCCAGTCAAAGCTCCCTCCCCACCCCTACCAGGAAGGAGTGACCACACCACCCTCCCTCCCATTCCTCACCAGACCCGGTGGCTTCTCCCACCCACACTTTCACCCACCCCCATGTTGTAGCCACATGAGTGTCTCAAAACTTCAAATACGATCTTGATAAGCCTCTGCTGAAAAGCCTTCAACAGCTCTCTGTGGCCTTTTGCTTAAAATCCCAATCCTTTATCCTCACAGTGCTGCCTGATCCACCTCTCACCCACACCCAAGCGTCACCTGTTCCCATCACCCTGACCCCTGGGCCCTGCTCTCTACACTCATCTCCCAGGGAGGCTGCACCTTCCACAGCAGCCGGGGACCTCCTGGGTCAAGTGTCCCCTGGTCTCCTGGGAAAAACAGGTGCTTCCTCCTCTGAGCTCCCCAGCACCTTGTGCAAGACTTATTCATGTTCCTTTGCAAATATTTCTTAACTAACTACCTGCTACGTACCAGGCAACATGCTAAGTGCCAGCAGAGCAAAGTGGGGCTGGCTCCACCCTATGGAACCCATCCAGTGGGCAGGACATCAGCGTCCCACAGCGTGTGCTTGCATGTGTGTGATGACACACTGTGACAAGTCCTGATTAGGAACACACAGGGTGACAAGAGAACTAGAGGAGATAAGCTGGCCCAGTGAGGAGGCTGAGTTGGACCTGAAGGGTGAGGTGTCAGAACTGCACAAGCATGCTTTAACTGGTCTACTGCAGCAAACTTCCACCCAAGAGGGCAAAGCGGCATGCAACCTGAACGTTCAGAGCTCCCGAAGTCGTCTGACCTGCTCACCCAGGGAATCCTTCTAAGAACAACAAGCCACTCCACTGGGCAAGAAGCTCTTTCAGCAAACCACCATTAGGCTGGCTTCATACCCTCTGCTGTGTCCACTGATCTTAAAGTCTTATTATACATTGTTAACGTGTCCCAATCCAAATCAGACCAGCCACCCACATTGAAAGATCTGCCTTAAGCCAAACTCCCAGGCCTTACGAATACCAACCCTTGACCTCCGCTTCCACACACATGCAGGAATCGGCCAGGCGGCACGGTTCCTCCTGGCAGTGGGCAACTTCCACGGCTCCATGTGGCAGATGACCATCATGGAGGACTCTTCAGGAATTCGGCACCAACAACATGAGCTTCCCAGGAAGACGGAACAACAGGCAAGACAGAGCCTGATGTGTCTGGTATCAGGAGGGAGGGTGATGTGGCTGAGGTGCTGATGGCAGAGGCAACCCTGAGCTCTCGCTGCAGGCATCTGTCTGTGCGGGCCAGGGCCCCATTCCCACATGACAGTCCACCCCCAGATCACTGTGTCAGAATCAGAATACCCCAGACCATGAAGGAAGTGAGGGCAGCCTGGAGGCAGCAGGTAGGGAGGGGACCAGTTCCCTACCACCCCATGGCTCCTCCTCAGGACTTCTAGGACCTGCATGAAGGCTGTGGCTGCTTTGTCCCTGGGTGTCCTCAGTACCCTCTTTGTCATTTCAGCCCCCAATACCTGTCCAACCACTCTGCTTCCAGCTTTCCTGCCTGGGCCCTAATCCCCACCCCCACACTCCCATCCCACCCCGCCCTGTGATCTAAGTGAAGGAGAAGCCCAGCAACTCCAGGCTCTCCACTGTGCAGACAGAGGGCTAGAGGCTGGCAGGAGGGGCTCACAGCCGTGTCCACCTTCCCCAGGGGACGATCTCTGTGGGGGGTTGGAGGCAGATGTGCTGAAAACGTCAGCAGTACTGACGATCCCTCACCAGGCACCCATCCCATGGCTGTGTTTAAACATTTCCCTTCCTCATTGACTGCAAGGCTCTGTTATTTAACATGCCTGAAATCTTGCAGTGTATGGATGTGTGGACCATAATGGCCTGGCTGGCAAGCTCAGCATGTTTTTGATCGCCCCTCCCTATCATCAGCACTCAGCGAGCTGGAGCTATTTCCTTCCCTTTTCCCCTGACCCAGGCCACATCTTCAGGCCAGAGACATGGTTTGCTGCCCCTGTGTGGGTCAAGGTCACTGGCCAGAGCACTGGGAGGGGCTCAGTGGTTGACCCTGAGCACCACGGCTGCCACACGTGTGGTGGGGGCTGCTGGAACCCCCGCTCCAGTCCCACCAGCCCACCTGCCAGAAGAGGAGGGAGCTACCTGCTCTTTCCAAACTTGACAGGCTCCAAGAGTCCTGTTAAACATGGTAGCTTTACAGAAGAATACAGACTTCATTTGTTAAAACGCAGTAGAATAGAAAGAATTATAAGGAAACCACGCAGCAGCAACATCTCAAAGCAGCGAGACGGTCAGCAGTATGGAGGAAAGGAGGGGCAGGCGCCATCTGAAACCATGCATAAAAATAAACCATCTGCCTGGCCAGAGTTGTCTTCCTCCACTTGCTAGAAACACAGAGCTTAAGGTAAATATAGAAAAGACAATGAGTTTCACTTCCACAGGCCCCAAGAGCTAGCGAAGAGTCAAACCCACCCACCCTGAGCTGTCAGGACAAAAGCATGGGGAGGGGAGAGTTCCTGGGGATCATAACCTGTCATAACCTGTTCCTGGGGACAAACCTGTCATCACACAGCCTGTGAGACTTTAGGGTCCTTCACTCCAATGCCCACCAGGACCCTGCTCAGCAGCAGGCGGGCCCCCTACATCCCTACAGCAGGGGTGCTTCTTCTGGCCAGCAAGAAGGCAGCTCTTCTCCCTAGCAGGTGACTCAAAGCCCACAGCCCAGCCCCATCAGGTCCCCTGAAGACTTCTTCACAGCTTCACAAGTGAGACTTCCCGGTCAGTGGTGGGATTATGACCACCCACACTACCCCGTAGATGGAACCCGGGTCACAGGGAGCCCTGGAGAAGAACAGATGCCAGTGCTCAACCTGGACACACACTCCAGCTACAAGCTGTGTGTGGGCTGAACAAAGAGATTAATCACTAGGGCCACCAGGATGCCCATGGGCCCAGCCTCCAGCCCCCTTCCCACAGGGCCTGGCTGCTCTGTCCACCTTCTCACTGACCTCGGAGCAGATGTACCACGGTCCTGCTGTCCCTGCAGAGCCTTCAGGTGTCTGACAGAAAATGAGCCCTCCCTGTAAAGCACAGCCTGGACTCCACCCACCCATAATAGCCACCCGGTAAGCAGGTCAGGCCAGCAGCCGCCGCCAGAGGAGGATCTGCCCGGGGTAGGCGGGTGGCGGATGGCCCTGGCCCTGCAGCGCCTAGGCCAAACCCCACCCCACGCCTGCCTCCGAGCTGGTGGCCAGGACCTGGCTGCCTCCTGTCCTGGCTGTGAGTCTTGTATAGCCTGGCACCTGAAACTCCCTACCCTCCTGCCACAGCATGGGCGGGGCTGGGGTCACCAGCGGGTAACAGTAGGTCCAGACCTCCTGGGCTCCCTGCTTGGGTGTGGTCTGCCACACTGGAGCAGTGCCATAGAAGACAGGACACAGAGAGTATTTGGGGACTCGGGTGCCAGCTGCCAGAGGGGCCCAAGCAATGCCTGGGCATAAGCATCCTCGGGGGCCCAGGGTCACGCAGCCCTGGGCCAGGTACAGGCACCTAAGCTGCAGTGACATGCTCACCCCACTGCATGCCCATGCATCCCCTGACCACAGGTAGAGCCAGGGCATTCACCCCCAAATGAAATCCAAGCAGTGGGCAGGTCCCTGACACAAGGAGTTATCTTTTCACTGCTCCCCTCATAATCAACCTGCTTTACCTTGATTGCCCTGGACACTTTGCCTTTTAGAAATTATATGTAACACAGGCATAATTCTGCGTCCAGCTGGTGGTCTCTGTTTTCCTGCTTCACCTGGGCCTCCCTCTCCACCTCCACAGCCTCTTCCCTGGCTGCCCCTGCAGCACAGCTACAGTGTACCTGCCTTTATCAAGCTCTGCCCAGGTGCCATAAGAAGAAACACAGGCAAACACATACCCACACACAAAGGAGCACTCCTGCCATCACAGCTCATAAAGCACGTCACACA